CTTTCCTACGAGTTTTCATTACCAAAACATCCACAAAACTATGTGATTTAAGATGTTTATACTAAACAGTGGTAGAGCCCGCTTTAACATCTTCGCACGAATTGGCCCGGCTCGCCTGGTGAAATACCACACAGAAGACAGGCGTGAAGTGGAAGCAATTCCGCGTTTCGTCTGATGAATGTGCGTACCGGAGGCTTAATTTAGTCCTCTTTCCCTTCCCACCCTTTTTCTTATAAGGAAAGGATGGGAAGTGGAAGTGGTCTTTTCGGATGAGAGGATGCATGTGAAGGGAAAATATTTTCTTTCTGTGCATCCTCTCCTCCGTCGATTAAAGGTATGCAACGCATATGCAATTGCGTATGTCTATGGGCAACGGTCAATTCGCTATTTCAGCGAATTCAGGTGGCCGCTCGCTCGTTTGCCACCTTATGATAAAAAAAAAGGTTTCGGTACAACAAACTGATTTTTCTACAAGTATTGAAAGTACTTTAAGATTTTCATTTCCACTATGATTAAAAGTAATAATTTTACTATGTTTTGTACCATAGACTATTAATTTCTCACAATACTCTTCATTTCAATTGTTCGCTTTAACATTGTGTATAGTTTGATTAGTCTAGACTTGCTGTGGGAATATTACTATACTTACAATGTACTGTTTTTCTTACATATGTAGCGTTTCTTCGATGTGTACTTTAATACATTTTCTAATCAAGTTAATCTTATACTTTTAATACAGTTAAGGTTTACCTAATGGTTAATTATCAAAGTAATATGGTGTTTGTGTTATATTGTGTAACATATAAACTTATCTTTCATTCCGTGTATTAGAATTCATCCAAATTATCTAGTAGATTATCTGTCGTCTGCGACTACTTACGCTAGGGTTAATTAATTTTGTAGCCTATGCGTCCTTTTACACTGTTCTCAGTCCATCGAGATCCATACAGTTGATCCATCCAAACATTCGCATTTATATTAGTAACATAGATCGACAATCTAAGTTAAAAGACGACGTCTATATTTGCAATCCAAATCTATAAACTTTTATAATAGACAAACTGGAACTCGTGGAATTTAAAATTTTTTCGTTAAAATACACTTTCTAGCATAGTCTTCTCTCACCCTTAATTTAAAATACCACTTACTTTTATCTTACAGAAATAATTAACAAAAATTGGTTGTGTACGGAATTTGAGGATCATCTAAGGGTTATCTTTTAGCATTGGACTGAAATAAATCCTAATCTAAAGATATTTTAAAATAAATAAATAAATAGATTATAAATAATCTTTGTTCCAAAGAGGTTTTAATGTTTATTTATCTATAAATCATTTTTCTTAATATATTTACGTGTTCATGGTCATGATAATCTATGAAAAGCTACGGTCCAAGGCAATCCTGCTTTAGTAACGTTTGTTAGCACGTGCTTTTTAACAAATTACTCACCTGCTCATATAATTAATGTTTATAAAGCAAACAGATATTTCCCTTATATTTTAATTGATAAGCTTCATTGAATACGCATGATTCAAGCAACTATTACATTTATTCAATGGGTAAATGTCAGATTTATTCAATACTAGCTGTCGACCGTGACTCCGTCAGCGCGGAATTAAAAACAAACTTAATAAGTAGCCTATGGGTTCTTCCAGACTATGTTCTACATACATGCCAAATTTCAGCGAGATCCATGCAGCCGTTCCAAAGATATCTTCATACAAACACCCATAATCTATTCATCCAAACATTCGCATTTATAATATTAGTAACATTAACATAGGACAAAGACTGCACAAACTATGCTATTGATACTGCTTTAAGGTTAAAGATAATTCATTTTTTTTAAATTGTCTGAATTTATAGACTCTGTTATTCATGCAAGGACAATTAAAATTGTGATTCCTACAATTCCTCTTGTCTAAGTGAAGTGCAAGAACACATTCAAAGACTTTTAAGATAAGTGCTAGTAACGGACAGACAGCTTTTGTGAAGATTGTATATAACAATGTAAAAAGACCGAATGAAGAACCCTATAGTACTAAAATCCGTCTTATACAAATTCTCGTAATTGCTTAATATATTTTTGGTTTGTATTGATTGAAAATACACTATTTATAATATAAGGTGTCCTCGTTTAGGAGTACAAGAGACGGTAGCCTCGATCAAGTGGGATTCATATTTTATCTATCAATGACATACCTTCAGGCTGTTTGTTGGCATCTCTCCATATGCAGTCCAGGCATTGTATAGTTTATTTATATCTACACAATTGCGAGGACGGCTACGAGTTACAAGTATATACTCGTATGACTAAGAAAACTAGGCAAAAGACTTTGAATGAGTGGTACTTTTCTAGACATATGAATTATCGTGAAATCTCTGACGTTTTTGTATGATGTTTTACTGGTATGCGATTCTCTTATTATTAATATCTCCGAGTTATGACAATCAATGTAGTAATGTAGTGGAAATAGACTTTTATTTCCACTAAATTGAAACTTAGATAAAACATGTCTCATTGCATTAATTTTATAGAAATCTATCGAGGTTCTTCTTATACGTGACGCGTAGGAAGACATGTATTACCATTCCACGAATTGATAATATTCCAGTAAGAAATAAAATGTCTTTATAAGTATAAAACGCTTTGTATAATATATTTCGGCGAAGAACTTTAACGCAATGTAATTGTTAAGTCAACCAGGATATCATAAACAGCCAGGCACCAGTTATAACAAGATTTAAACTTTATCTTGACTCGTGTTTAGATGCTAACACACGTCTAGATTTAAGCCCACTACGTTTGGAGAAAATCGCGTCCAATTTAAATTAAAATTCCGAGCAGCCATAAAGTTTGGATAGCACTATATTAGTTTTACAGTCGTGTAGTGCACAAGAAAGCCTATCAACCAGGCAACGTGTACAAAACTTTCTGTGGACTCTCGAACATGCGTCTAGTTTCTTACGCAAGCGCGATGCAAATGCGTTCTATAAATAGAACCTGTGCATAATGATCTTACGTTAAGACTGGCTGGAAGAACGGTTTACGTACTTAAGTAACGATTATAAGACGATGTTAAAAATAAATCATTAATTTTAAATTGTATTTATAGTGCCTTATAGGGTATTGAATTAATTGTTTGGTTGTACAACGATGTCCAATCTAGAATCTGTACAAATAGTAGATTGATAAAAAATCTCAATTAAATTTCTATTATTATATACAGTTAATATTTATATCGCCCTAAATGAAAAATTAAATTTAAAGTTAATTAGAAAACATGCCTCTTCTAAATTTAAGTCGTATAAATGAGTCACTCTTATCGCGACATAATCTTAAAATAACTTAGTTAAATATCGTTTAAGGAGTTGTTACCTCATGACAACTATGTTACGAGCTTATGTTCTTATATGTGCTTAGTACTATACTTAAGTTTTATATCTTGTTTAATGTATTTTAAACCGTGTTTATTGAACGTTGATTTGCGTTCCGCTACCGCTTGTACCTGTCTGTCTGTTTGGCTTAAAAACTATTCTAAAGTATGCCTAATACTGTAAACAAAAGAAGCTACACCAAAACATTTTAAATGGAAGAATAATTGTAAACATATGAACATCTAATTAAAATGACCTTCGGCGTAAATTAAGATTAAATGTTGTTGTGTTTCGTAGCGTATTCGTTTCGTTCATTCAATTCGGTAAATTAATGAAAACGACTAAGTTAAACTTCTATGAATAATCATAGACAATCTTTCATCTGAAAGAAGTAACCGAAAAAGGAAATTTTTAAAATTAATTGTAGCACAATTTATCCGACTCGAAAGGACCATGGCTTCTAAGAATAGTGTCGTATCAATTAATCGTTTTAATTATTGCGTGTGGTTAATCAAAGTAACCAGACTATAAAATTAGGTTTCACGCTTGAAGGAAATTGAGTGCTCCCAATTTTGAATTTGGAATCTAATCCAATTGCTGCTGCTTTAAAGGAACAAAATTACCATATCTTCTATCAAATATATTCCTGATAATTCTAATATTATTATGCCACATAAATAAAATAACACTAGCTGTCGCCCGCGACTCCGTCCGCGCGGAATGAAAAAAAAAACTATTGGTCGCAACGTAATGTTACATAACCTGAAGCCTTCCTCTATAAATGGACTATCCAACCAAAAAAATATTTTTCAAATCGGACCAGTAGTGCCTGAGATTAGCGCGTTTAAACAAACTCTTCCGCTTTATAATATTAAGTATAGATAACTGGGAGTCCTTACAAAAAAGATGTTCCGTTCTGGTTGAGTCTTTTTGATCCTTTGAAGTAATATTTGTTGCTGCAGCTGCATAAGATTAAGATTACTTCTATGATTTACTGCTGGTACTAATCGATATGTGTCCGTAACTAATTTGATGCATTTGCGTACAGTATGACGTCAGAGCGATAAGGTTTACATTCGTACTTAGAGCTTACATTGAAGCGTTACAGATTATAAATAAGACATAAGTAATTCATAACTGAAATATCCTGTCGTGATGTTAAGAAATAAGTGGCAGGAAGACTGAATACGTGTAAACCATTAGGTGATGGAAGGTGTAAGATGAAACAATGGACTACCTTGTTTTTCTTGCGTAAAATCACCCGCGTTGAAAATATTTCGTCTTATATATAAAATTCTCGTGTCACAATTTTCGTTCCCATACTCCTCCGAAACGGCTTGACCGATTTTCATGAAATTTTGTGAGTATATTGAGTAGGTCTGACAATCGGCCAACATCTATTTTTAATACCGCGCGGACGGAATCGCGGGCGACAGCTAGTGTTATATATAAAAGTCGTATTATTTCAATGTTAAAAGGCCAGCAAATTACCAAGACTAAATTATTGATTACGTGTTGTATATAATAAATGCTATTAAATACTTATTCTTCATATAATATTGCCATGTAGTTTAGATATCAAAATGTTGCTGGTTGTCTATAACAGTTTGTTTACCCTACAGGCGACTGCTCCAGCTTACTATGCGGTCGCACAAAGGAAGTGGAGGTCGGAGGGAACGCGGGAGCGGGGGCGGCGCTGGCGCTGTCCCTCTCCCGCCCGCCTTCTGCAGGCAACGCGACGTGTCAACTTCGCCTGACAGCGCCTGAAGCGGCCGCTTTTACTGTACGACTGATTGATGTTAAGGTAAGACCAAGATTTTATTATGTGTACAGAAAAATTTAAAGCGATGACGTTACTTTGTGATAGCAGAATGTCAAAACTGAATGAATTACCGTAAGTTTCTAAAACCAAAATCTCTGTATAAGACATATCGTCCTCACTGTGATTACCTTTGACAAAACAATACGTTTTAAACGGAGATTTTGGTTTTGGAAACTCACGGTTAATAATGAATGTACAGACAAAAAATCTTTTACCGCTTAAGGACGCCTTTTTGTCTTTTTTAGAAATCTGTAAAGTATCAGCAACATGTCAAGACACAAATATCACGAAATACGAAACATGTCTTCATTATAAATGTCGAAGTCTCGTCGTATTTTCTTGCAATAATACCTTTATACGTCTTGCTAAGTCTACAGACGTGCATAAAACAAACTGTGCAAAACAAACGACTGCTGTTAGCTCATCGCGTGTCTCATCGCAAGGTTTGTTTGTCTGTCTGTACTTGTAAAGTATATATGAAGTTGATTCAACATACTATTTAATCATACGACGTTGCTCCAAAAAACAACGATACCAAACAGAAATCTTTTTCAACAGTATTTGCTGAATTTAGATACTGACAATGACTAACAACTATCTATCCATAACTATAGTTAAAATAGTACAACATTGATTAGCAACTATGTTAGCAAATACGGAGGCCGAAGTTGTAAGCGGGTCAATAACTTTTTAGCAGGATATTATCCAAACGTCATAATGTAAACTAAGTTTTTCTTGCCATAACAAAAAAGGGTCTTGACAGACATACTGACGGACAGCAAACCAATACCACTTAGGGACCTTCAAGAAGCCAGCATACCATTTCCTTAAAGGCCGGCAACGCATTTGCAGTTCCTCTGGTGTTGCATATCCATGTGTGAGGTTGATAACCACGGTGTTCTCGGCGCACGTTTGCCCCCTTCTCTTATAAAAAAAGTGATCTTATAATTCGTTTTTTTCTATGAGTTACGGTACCCTAAAAATCAACCACAAAGGATGGATCCCCGTTGCTTAGGAACCAAAGTTTAGTAACCAACCATAGTTTAGAAATAGCCTTGAAAATTAATCTGTTATATAGCAAACATTTGTAACTTAAGCAATATCTTTGACAATGTCCTAAATATCTAACATCTATGTAATTAGTTATTATTCTAGGTAAACATAAACCTTCGATGTATTAAGTGATTGTCATTTACCTTTGATAAATAGTACGTTAAATGTCAGTAGACTCAGATCAAAAGCTAGTATTATGAATCCTAATCTCTAGATGGATGGATGTTTGTAGGAAGGTATCTCCAGAACGGTTAAACGAAATTGTTGAAATTTGACATACATGTAGAATATCATCAGTTACGTCCCCACCGAGGGGCTCGGAGCCTACCCTAAGTTAGGAGTGATTAGGCCATAGTCAACCACGCTGACCAAGTGCGGGTTGGTGGACTTCACACATATTTCTTCGCAGATATGTGCAGATTTCATCACTATGTTTTCCTTCACCGTAAGACTGTTGGATAAACCCAGGACCAGCACAAGTCAAGTGCTTTAACCCCTGAGCCACCGACGCTCCCTGAGCCACCGACGCTCATGTAGAATATGTAGAATATAGTCTGGAAGAAAACATAAGCAACTAACCCTTTTTTTATTCTGACGGACGGAGTCGCGGGCGCCATCTATGCGGTAATAAATAAAGTGATAGTTTTAGTGCGAGTCACGTAGATAAAACTGTGTTTTGTAACAGTTGCGGCAACTTGGGATAGACAAACAGTGCTGACAGTTGCTTCATGATGTGAATCACGCAACTTGTACAAGATAAGGGTGTTAGGATTTCATGCGTTATTGCCAATGTGTTCTTTCTAAGCAATTCGTATTGTGCAATTACTTTCCCCATCAAAAATTGTGTAAAATGTTGCTAATTTTAGGCCCATTATTTTGGAGCTTTTCTCGATGAATTCATACATTTTAACTGGTTTTTGCTAGTTATAACAATACTATCTTTGTTACCATTTTTAAAACGATTAAGTATCGTTGGATTCTAAGACTAGAATCTCTGTATAACATATAGTTATCCCTGTCATTGTCTTTGACAAAACAGAGAAAATAATGTTTTAAACGGGCATTCTGTTCTCAGAAACCAACGGTGAATCGTTAAAAGTATTAACTAATGACATAATATATCATTTGATAACCTAACTTCATTCACCACGTGTTATAGTTTCTCAGTGGTGTCAACAAACCGTGACAAGGTAAAGTATTATCTGACATAACGTATTTACTATGCATCATTGGGAAAGGTAACAATTATTACTATTGTTATACAATCTTTATCACCTAAGACACAGACTTCGACTGAGTATTCAGAATATAAATAGTTCTGTAAGGTGAATTTTCTTACGAATTCTTGAAATTTATAAAGGATAGGTCCAATTTTAGCGATCTACCCTTTCCATCATTTTTTGATAAGTTAAGTGTGGGACAAAAAATTGGATGTGACATGACGATGACCAGGAAAGGAAAAGGACAGGAAAGGATGACAAGGAAGGAAAATCTTTTCCTGTTTGTCATCTCCTGCGTCAGTTAACAGCAGACTGCTTTACATTCATGTTGCAACTTGTTATATCCTTTGAAAGTTTGCCAAATTTTTATTAAGAATTCGTTGTAAGTAAATTGTGAACTAATTGAAGTTATTCAAAAATAATGAGTAATTCAAATATCCTTTATCGTTATACTTTTTCGCTTCGATTAATCGATTCTGTTAATCGATTTCTCGCTCGTGCACAGATGAGTCATGTGCCGTATAAAATCGATTATTGTTTTTAATTCACATTTCGTTTACGGTTAACGGTACACGATGGTTTTATTCATTTCAACAAATAATTTGGTATAATAATTTCCAGGTAAAAGTAAATAATTCATGTGATTGTCAGTATATAATTTTTTAGTGACTTTCATCATGAGCTCACTACACCGAAAGGCTCGGAGCCTAAGTTAACCCTAGGTCATAGTCAACCACGCCAGCCTGGTGCGAGTTGACATCACACATATATCATTGAATTTCTTCGCAGATATGTGCAGGATGCCTCATGATGTGTTCCTTTACGGCAACGACTTTGATAGGAGATAAAAATGTTGTATTACGAAGCCTTATTGATAATAAGGTCTGTTGGTTTAGGTACTGCCTGCGACTAGTTTGAACTAGTTTACTTGATTTTAAATCAGAAATATCTGGAATGTAATACATGAAGTTATGGCTGGGTTCTCTAAGAAGCCATGTTTATGACTTGTTAATAAATTTAAAAAAAAAACAAAAGAAAACCTTCACATTATCGATTTCGCATTAAATCTTTTTTAATTTAATTTATTAACTCTTTCTTTAAGAGAAGCCAATAAATCGAATCTCGTGTGCTTGGTGTGTCTTATGCTATGCTACAAAAACCCTTATTAATATTATATCTTTTGCTTTTTTTCCTGTAATAATATAAATATATTTCATACTAGCTGTCGCCCGGAACTCCGTCCGCGCGTAATTAAAAAAATAATTATTAGCCTATGTGTTTTTCCAGACTATGTTCTACATCTATGCCAAGCATCAGCGAGATTCATTCACCTGTTTATATGGAAAAAAAAGACTTTCTTTGGGGTTTTCCCGGCAATTATTCGAATTTTTCTCCAATTTTAAACCTTCTCTAAACCTCCACAAACATTTCAAGACCAAGATAAGATAAATCCGTTCAGCCGTTCTCGAGTTTTAGCGTGACAAACGAACAGCAATTAATTTTTACATATATAGAATAAGATAATACGACGTACGATACACATTTCTAATCTTACCAACATTCATAAGCTAAAACAAAGTAGTGTAACGATAAAAATATAGTTTACACAGTCAACAGTAGGTAACTACCGGTGTAAAACTAGGTCATATTTATTCTGACTACACACCAATAAGTTTTATGTCAAGAAACAGAAGTATGTACAAACATAAAGTAGAAGAGAAAAAGTAGGACTAATACAGAAAATTTAATACCTGCCTAGATCTAGAATAAAATATAAGTTGGCGACGTTCTTGTATTTCCTTATAGTAGTTTCTGCTTCTCGATTATTCTTCCAATATGTTCTCATTTAACACAACTGCCCCTAATTACTACTTCTTACAATCTGTTAGTTGCATACTTAACTTGTTTATAGTAAGCTTTTGTAGTGACCAGGAAATGCCATTAAAATCTCATAAAGAATGAACTAACCGTGGTGAATAGGCAAATAACAGCATTGCGGTTTTATTTACGAAGTTTTGCGCTAGATATACAACGTTGTGTTGCATTAAAAATAGGTACTATTTTTAAGTCTATGTCTAGGTATTCATTTATATGTTTGACTACCCTAAATCCAATAACATGGTCGTAGCAAAAGTTTTTTTATTATACAAATGAACTCTACACTATGCATCATCATCATCGTCAGCTCACTAGACGTCCCCACCGAGGAGTTCGGAGCCCACCCTAAGTTAGAGATCACTAGGCCAAAGTCAACCACGCTGGCCAAGTGCGGGTTGGTTGACTTCACACATATTTTTGAATTTCTTCTCAGATATGTGCAGCATCACGATGATTTCCTTCACCGTAAGAACGTCGGATAAATTTATATATGTAAATCGTAAATCGAAAAACACATTGGTACATGGCGGGATTCGAACCCAGGACCTGTAAATTACAAGTCAAGTGCTTGATTTCTGAGCCACCGACGCTCTCTATACTATTATGCATTCACAATTAATTTATACGAAATCTATCGAACGTTAAAACATTTTTTTTTTAGATATTGTCTATTGCTTCGCTTGGGAACCCAAATGGAATATAGTTAAGTCTTTGTCTAAGGGTCATTGACTTCTGAAATAAACCGATATGAGGCACTGAACTTGTGCTTGATAAAATACTGCGTTAAATTAGGAGGGTTGTAATTTGAAAGAAAATGTAATATTGTTGTGA